ATGTCCATATAGTGAAGCTATATGGACACATTTGCTATCAGATTTAAGTCTGGCGAGTTACCAGGTCAGTCATTAACCCTTTCAAAGTTGGTCCCATTGTTATACGGCTTTGAAGCCCAGGTTGGTCCCATAGTTTTATGCCATGAGCTCATCTTGCTCAGATAAGCTGTGAGTGGTAAATTTGTGCCTAGATGTGAGAGAATGGGTCTGTAGTGAGTGTGCACGATATGAAAAAAAAAGCCTGCAGCATGCAGTGCATAATGGGGAAAAAACTGACTTTTTGGTTTAAAACGTTGACTTTACGGTGTATATTCGTATGGTCTGTATGTTTGTATTCTCGGTTTTATGGTCTCATTTGATAGAATGGAAGATGTATTATACAAATAGAGATATTTTCATTGGTTTCAGGACTGAAAGTAGCTTGAAATTAAGCTCAAAATAGTAGAAACGTTTGATTTTTTCCAGTATTCCATAGTACACAAATTACATCAGTCATCCAATACCTGTCCAGCTGGTTGGTGTAATACATGTTCACAAATGTGCTGACATTGGTTATACAATTATTACAATTCAGTAGCCTGCATTAGAGTAAATCTTCTATTTTTTATGTGAATAAAAATTCAAAATGGAAAAAAAGTGTATTACAGGAGAGGCCTGAGGGTGTGACTAATGAACAGGGGAAATTTTGTTTTAGTGCATGGAATGTTTACGTTGTTTATTCTGGATCCTATTTTGAAATTGGCAGTTTCTGAATTTTGTGTGAAATTGGCCACATTACTGATTTCTGATCACTTCGATTAGTTGAAATAAGTAAATGGGCTGTTTCTTGTAATTAATTGATAGAATAGAAGGAATATTAGCAAAATAGCAATGAGGTTGGTCGACTGGAAGAATGGAATTGGCCGAAAATAGGGTTCAAAGTGGGTGAAATCACTGATGTGTAAATATTGTCTTGACCACTAACTTTGCGATAGCGTAATTCCATAAGTTTTCCATCATGTTTCGTACTTTTGGTTTCAATATGTTCGGAGAAAAGATTCTTTATTATTTCATAATTTTTTTTTATGAACTCTCCGACCCTGAAAGAAAGTTTCAGATCGGGTTCCGATCCTGAAAGGGTTAAAGAATGATATATCACAGTCATGTAGCCAATCTTTAATGTCTTTAGCAGTATGGCAAGGGGCACAGTCACACAGAAGTTGCCCTGGTACTTCTTGGAACTGTCAGGCATATGGTCTGCTAAAAGCATGTTTGTGTGTTCATGTTTATGATGGCTTCTGTATATACACAATGATAATAGTTTTGTTTGAAGATTTTCTAGCACTCAAAACATGTAAAGAAACACAGCAAGCATCACCTCCACCAAGGTAGGGCTACTTGAAAAAGAAGAAATACTTTCACCATCACTCACACTATGACTGTCTTGCCAGAGGCATGGCATTACTGCAGTTCAGATGCCTCTCCAAATTGCGAATATTCCCACCCCTCGTTCAGGGTGTAGGCACTGTACTTTCAACCTCCAGGACTCAAGTCCTGAAGTTGAAATATTCTCTAAATTTCTGCAAATTTGTTCTTATTTCTAATGACTGTTTCTGTCTTCTAACACTACTCATAAGGAAATCTTTTGATATTACATTTGTTTAAAATTGTGAAACTCCTCAGAACATGGAAATGATTCACACTACAGGTGGGAAAAATTTTACATTCTTTTTGACTGAATTTTGCTGTTAGTACAGGGGTTTTGTACTATGAAAATGTAATAAATTTGGAACAAATAAGGCATCTTCCTGTCAGTTCTATGCCCTATTTGCTGGGAGGGAAGTTAGTGGTAGCAAGACAGGTCCTGGTTTACATTTGCTTTTGAGGTAGTATTTCCCATGATGCACTGCATGTACCTGCAGTGGTCCTAGATTTTTTCCCCAGGTGGTAGGTGTCCCAAACAACTGAATTTGAGATCTAAACTCGCAGCTCTCTGCAAATTTGAAGGCACTAAAAAATGTGTGAAGTGGAACCTCTGGTCATGAACGCTTCTGAACACGAACAAATCGGTTCATGACCAAAAAATTCACCAACTTTTTGCATCTGGTCACGAACACACAATCAGGTGCCAAACAAACACAGCCGCGCCAATTTTCACATTTCATGCCTTTTTTTTTTAACGCCAATTTTCCCTACTTCCTGTTTGTGTACATCTAACAAAAACCCTCACCTTGTAGTCGGTCTCAGTTAGACACGTTCATTCGCTGTGAACTTCTTGTGTTGTTTTTCGTGTGTTTTTTGAATTCTTTTTGTTTTCTTGGTTGTTTGCAGTATGTTTTTCCTCTCTATTTTTTTTTTCTATTAAACTGCGCATTATTTTGTATAATTAAGGATTTTTCAAACTTTGATTATTTTTTTCTGTGCTTAACCCTTTGACTGGTGGTCCCGTAATATTACGGCTTTGAGAGCTAATGTTGGTCCTGTAATACTACGCCAAAATTGTAGTGGCCTCAAATCTAGCTGGAGAAAGCTGGTAGGCCTGCATGTGAGAGAATGGGTCTGCATGGTCAGTGTGTGCAGTATAAAAGCAATTGTGGAGCCAGTGGTGCATTGTGGGAATGCCATTTCAGTGTGCCTTGTTTACCATGCCTTGCGGTAAGAAATACCTTGTACCCCGGTGAATTGGGACTCTTCTTTTCCCAAGTGACAGTTCTAACACAGATGGAACTGTCAGTGAAGATGAATTTCATGGTTTTGAGGAGTTTGTGACCGAAAGCAATGCCCAGGAAACCAGAAGGAAGGAAGGAAGAAAGAAAAAAAGCAAGGAAGGAAGGAAGAGATGAGAGGAAGGAATGAAGGAAGGAAGGACGACCCAGAAAACCATCAACCTAGGATAACCCAAAAAAGTCAGTGACTTAATCCATGTGGGTGGTGAAGACAGCATGCTTGTTTGGGAAGACGGTGTGGGTGATGAGTGGTGGAAATGCATCATTGTGACACCAGCCATGCCACTCTCAGCACATCCACCAACAAACGTGCACACAACAACCTTCCACAAGCTGTAGCAGTTCTAGGAACATGTCTAGTGACTATGTATGTGTATATATATTATAGAACAATAGTAATAACCAACTTTTTTTATTGTTTGTGTAAACAGGCTTTGTAAACATTGTAATGATAATTGTGCGGTTATTGTGTTGCATACAAGTGGATATATATACATTACACATTATAGTGGTCTCATAGGCCACAAAAGTTACTTGAAAAATTAAAATACTAAAAAATAAAAAAAAAATACAATAAAAATATTACCACGTGAGCAGCAGTCGCTGATGTTTTCATAAGCAGGTCACTTTCTGTCAGCTTCACACCTCTGTATCTTGGTGAGTTCTGATAACAATTTTTTTTGTTTTAAAACACTCACAAAAATATTCTTAAGATTTTGGTAAGAAAAATATTTTTTTTTTTTTCGAATATTTTTCGATGCAGAGCGAGAGTTTAGAATCAGGGTTCCAACAATGAAAGGGTTAAAAACTCTTAAAAAAAAATGTTTACGGCAAATGGTTCGTAAGGGTCTACAACAGACTCGTACAATGTTAGTTTTCTCTTGTTCAAGGTTTTTACATTTAGTTTACTATTACACTATGCATTCTGTGGTATAAATAACTATTTTTGTGCTTAACCCTTTCAGGGTCCAAGGCCCAAATCTGGAGTCACGCACCAGTGTCCAAGAATTTTCAAAAAAAAATTTTGTTATTTTTTCTTATGAAATCGTAGAGAATCTTTTTGTGAAGGTAATAAAACAAAAAGTACGAAATTTGGTGGAAAATTGACGAAATTATGCTCTCACGAATTTTGACGTGTCAGCGATATTTACGAATCGGCGATTTTGCCGACTTTGACTCCTATTTTAGGCCAATTACATTATTCCAATCAACCAAATTCTTAGCTATTTCACTAGTATTACTTCTATTCTATCGATTGAACACAAGAAATCACCAAGTCAACTGTTTCAACTACAAAATAAAGTGATCGGAAATTGTTAATTTGGCCAATTTAACACAAAGTTCAAAATATTCAATTTCAAAATAGGGTCCAGAATGAACAATGTAGGCATTCCTGGCACTAAACTAACATTTCCTCTGTTCATTAGTTATGTTTTGAGGCTTTACAAATAAATTCCATTTTGATTTTTTATTCACATAATGAATTTTTATTCACACCAAAAAATAGAAGATTTACTGTTGTGCAATACTGTAATAATTGTGTAAATATCATCACCATATTTGTGAATGTATATTAGACCCACCAGCTGACGTGTATTAGACGTGTGAGGTCGTTTGTTTACTCTTGAATATTGGCAAAAATTTAACATTTCTGCTATTTGAGCTCAGTTTCAAGCCATTTCCAATGCTAAAACCAATCAAAATCATCTCTATGTCTGTAATATGTCTTCCATTCTATCAAATGAGACCAAGAAATCGCAAATACAACTATAAAAAATATACGAAAAAACACTGCAAAGTTGCTGTTTTAATCGAAAAATCATGATTTCATTTTTTTCCTCTCATACACAGTGTGCTGCAGGAATTGTTTTATGTGGTGCACAAATACCACATAGATGTATTCTCTCATATCTAGGCCCAAACGTACCACTCACAGTTTATCAGAGTGAGCTGAGCTCATGGCGTAGATCTACGGTTTGGACCCTGAATGTAAAGCCGTAGATCTACGGGACGGACCCTGAAAGGGTTAAAAGTTTAAAAAAAAAAAATTTACATACAGTTTGTAGGGGTCTGGAATGCATTAATCGTATTTACATACAATCCATTGGGGAAATTAGGTTCAGGTCATGACCGGGTCGTGACCAGAGTTTTGGAATGAATTATGATCTTGATCAGAGGTTCCACTGTATATGTCAAACAGCTTGGTCACCTGACATGTGGCATATGTCTGACATTGTTTAAGGCCTAATATTTTTCGACTTTACAAGAAATATTTAGATTTTCTTTATGTTCTAGGGAAGTCTTCGTGATAGGATTCACCAAACCAAGCCTCAAGGAAATTCTTTGGTTAAATACTCGAGTGATAAGTTTATTCCCATTGAGCAGACAGACTGTGCAGTTTATGGGAGACAGATCTTAGAGGCACTACTGTTCCTGCACGAGAAGGGTATAGGCCATGGTAAGCTTAATTGCCCAATTTACAAACTTTTTTGTAAGTATTCTAAATAAAAGTGATGTACTGCATATTAAACAACATGATAGACAGGTTTTAAAGTTTTATTTTAATAATACATTTAATGCTGTGAGAACATATTTTGCTGCAATGAGAGTTATAATTTAAAAACAACTGATTTTTCAAATTCCACTTGATCAGAGATTGCTTCTTTATGACTTCATAAACAGTGTTGCTGTAGCTCCTATGATGCTTTGAATACCTGTTGAAATGGTCTGCTTTGTTTTTTAAATATTGATATTGTTTGGTGTTTAGTGAAGTGTTTACATTATGAACAGGGTGATTATCATTTTATAAATGCTTTAATGTGTGGTACCTAGTAAAGAAAGTATCATGTAAAAATCCCTTTCCATTGATATTACAGCCCATTGATATTTCTATCACACAGTTGAGGAATGAACTGTGTTTACATCATGTTCGTACATATCATATAATCAACATTTTTCCCCAGAAAGAATGACCCATTTAATTGATCTGTTTTATCATATTAGAGAACATTGTTTTTCATGGAAAGGGACTTTGTACCTAGTTACAAAGTGCTGAGAGGTGGAGCACATAATAATAATAATAATAATATCTTTATTTATTACAAGTACATTAATGATATACTACTATATGCTGAGCATTTCAGGCAAATTAGATCAGTGTCCCAGGATGCGACCCACACCACTCGGCTAACACCCTGGTACCCATTTTACTGATGGGGAACATAGACAACAGGTGGAAAGAAACATGCCCAATGTTTCTACTCTGGCTGGGAATCGAACCCAGGCCCTCACCAGGCCACCAGAGCCACCACCTCATTCTACACTGTCTTAAGATGAGCTATAAATGGCTTAATTTATAGAAAGGATAGAAAAAGTTAAAATCCAGTTTTGTAGGATGGTAACACAATATAGGATGTGATCTCTTTGTACAACATAAGTATTAATGCTCTCACAAAATAATGTAAATGCATAAACAATGTACCCTCTACAAGTAGCTAAGGACAGGTAAGGTGATAAAGAACAGTTTAACTTTACAAAATTAATAATTCCTTATTGTGATAATTTTTCATATTTCTCTTTTAGGGCATCTTCATACTGGAAATTTGGTTATTGATAATAATGTGTGTCGTCTGTTAGACCTAGAAAACCAAGTTGTTGGGCTTCCAAATCATATAAGATCACACATGATACACCATCGGAAGATTAACTCGATGGAGGCTATTGATGTTTACTGCTTTGGTCATGCGTTGTACGAAATGGTATTTAGTAAACGTCTTACTGATAACACCTGCACTGAATTTCCTCCAGAAAGCCCAGCATTGTCAAGTAAGTTTATAAGTGAGAAATATTTATATTTAAACAATTTTCTATTCCAGCGACTCAGTGCTGCCATTCACAGGGTTAAAGCCTGCTATATCCTGGGTATACACCCCAGCTCTGAGGAGCTAGATGGGATTTTTTGCATTGTAATCTGTGATAAACATTTAGCAATTTTTATTTTTATTATCACACTGGCCGATTCCCACCAAGGCAGGGTGGCCCTTAAAAGAAAAACTTTCACCATCATTCACTCCATCACTGTCTTGCCAGAAGGGTGCTTTACACTACAGTTTTTAAACTGCAACATTAACACCCCTCCTTCAGAGTGCAGGCACTGTACTTCCCATCTCCAGGACTCGAGTCCGGCCTGCCGGTTTCTCTGAACCCCTTCATAAATGTTAATTTGCTCACACTCCAACAGCACGTCAATTATTAAAAACCATTTGTCTCCATTCACTCCTGTCAAATACGCTCACGCATGCCTGCTGGAAGTCCAGGCCCCTCGAACACAAAACACAAAACCTCCTTTACCCCCTCCCTCCAACCTTTCCTAGGCCGACCCCTACCCTGCCTTCCTTCCACTACAGACTGATACACTCTTGAAGTCACTCTGTTTCGCTCCATTCTCTCTACATGTCCGAACCACCTCAACAACCCTTCCTCAGCCCTCTGGACAACAGTTTTGGTAATCCCGCACCTCCTCCTAACTTCCAAACTACGAATTCTCTGCATTATATTCACACCACACATTGCCCTCAGACATGACATCTCCACTGCCTCCAGCCTTCTCCTCGCTGCAACATTCATCACCCATGCTTCACACCCATATGAGAGCGTTGGTAAAACTATACTCTCATACATTCCCCTCTTTGCCTCCAAGGACAAAGTTCTTTGTCTCCACATACTCCTAAGTGCACCACTCACCCTTTTCCCCTCATCAATTCTATGATTCACCTCATCTTTCATAGACCCATCCGCTGACACGTCCACTCCCAAATATCTGAATACATTCACCTCCTCCATACTCTCTCCCTCCAATCTGATATCCAATCCTTCATCACCTAATCTTTTTGTTATCCTCATAACCTTACTCTTTCCTGTATTCACTTTTAATTTTCTTCTTTTGCACACCCTACCAAATTCATCCACCAATCTCTGCAACTTCTCTTCAGAATCTCCCAAGAGCACAGTGTCATCAGCAAAGAGCAACTGTGACAACTCTCACTTTGTGTGATTCTTTATCTTTTAACTCTACGCCTCTTTTCAAGACCCTCGCATTTACTTCTCTTACAACCCCATCTATAAATATATTAAACAACCACGGTGACATCACACATCCTTGTCTAAGGCCTACTTTTACTGGGAAATAATTTCCCTCTTTCCTACATACTCTAACTTGAGCCTCACTATCCTCGTAAAAACTCTTCACTGCTTTCAGTAACCTACCTCCTATACCATACACCTGCAACATCTGCCACATTGCCCCCCTATCCACCCTGTCATATGCCTTTTCCAAATCCATAAATGCCACAAAGACCTCTTTAGCCTTATCTAAATACTGTTCACTTATATGTTTCACTGTAAACACCTGGTCCACACACCCCCTACCTTTCCTAAAGCCTCCTTGTTCATCTGCTATCCTATTCTCCGTCTTACTCTTAATTCTTTCAATAATAACTCTACCATACACTTTACCAGGTATACTCAACAGACTTATCCCCCTATAATTTTTGCACTCTCTTTTATCCCCTTTGCCTTTATACAAAGGAACTATGCATGCTCTCTGCCAATCCCTAGGTATCTTACCCTCTTCCATACATTTATTAAATAATTGCACCAACCACTCCAAAACTATATCCCCACCTGCTTTTAACATTTCTATCTTTATCCCATCAGTCCCGGCTGCCTTACCCCCTTTCATTTTACCTACTGCCTCACGAACTTCCCCCACACTCACAACTGGCTCTTCCTCACTCCTACAAGATGTTATTCCTCCTTGCCCTATACACGAAATCACAGCTTCCCTATCTTCATCAACATTTAACAATTCCTCAAAATATTCCCTCCATCTTCCCAATACCTCTAACTCTCCATTTAATAACTCTCCTCTCCTATTTTTAACTGACAAATCCATTTGTCAAATCCATTTTAACTGACAAATCCATTGAAATGTATCCCAGCAATGTATCTTTTAAGTCTTGTGTACCATATTATGTAATAAAATATACCTATTGGTAAAAAAAAAAAATTAAAAGATGGGGTGGTAGGGAAAGTGGAATATTCAAATGGCTTTAGGAAGAAATCCAAATATTTGTCCTCTAAGCCTTTATCTCCATTTCTCCGAGGCTGTGGGTCCCCGCAGTTTGCACTAGAGGTGGATCTCGTCCTATATTCATTTAAACAATTTGTGCTAAAGCAGTTTTTTTGTTTTCCTTTAAATGAATACTATAAATTAAAAATATAGGACAATGAGATGCAACTGCTTGTACATCATCATTCCACCAATCGTGATGTGATGAATGGTTTGAAAAACCGACAAGTTGAAGATTGAGACACTTATGCAGCATATGGGAATCTTTATTCAGGAAACGTTTCGCCACACAGTGGCTTCATCAGTCCAATACAAAGAGGAAGGCGTAAGGAGAGTAGGAGAATGATGAAGCCACTGTGTGGCGAAACGTATTGGACTGATGAAGCCACTGTGTGGCGAAACGTTTCCTGAATAAAGATTCCCATATGCTGCATAAGTGTCTCAATCTTCATTCCACCAATCGCTCCTCTTCCCTCCCGCACCCACTTTCCTGTAACCACAAACTTCTGCTGAACACTCTAACACTACATTATTAAACCTACCCCATACCTCTTCGACCCCATTGCCTATGCTCTCATTAGCCCATCTATCCTCCAATAACTGTTTATATCTTACCCTAACTGCCTCCTCTTTTAGTTTATAAACCTTCACCTCTCTCTTCCCTGATGCTTCTATTCTCCTTGTATCCCATCTACCTTTTACTCTCAGTGTAGCTACAACTAAAAAGTGATCTGATATATCTGTGGCCCCTCTATAAACATGTACATCCTGAAGTCTAGTCAACAGTCTTTTATCTACTAATACATAATCCAACAAACTACTGTCATTTTGCCCTACATCATATCTTGTATACTTATTTATCCTCTTTTTCTTAAAATATGTATTACCTATAACTAAACCCCTTTCTATACAAAGTTCAATCAAAGGGCTCCCATTATCATTTACACCTGGCACCCCAAACTTACCTACCACACCCTCTCTAAAAGTTTCTCCTACTTTAGCATTCAGGTCCCCTACCACAATTACTCTCTCACTTGGTTCAAAGGTTCCTATACATTCACTTAACATCTCCCAAAATCTCTCTTTCTCCTCTACATTCCTCTCTTCTCCAGGTGCATACACGCTTATGATGACCCACTTTTCACATCCAACCTTTACTTTAAATCCACATAATCCTTGAATTTACACATTCATATTCTTTCTCCTTCCATAACTGATCCTTCAACATTACTGCTACCCCTTCCTTAGCTCTAACTCTCTCAGATACTCCAGATTTAATCCCATTTATTTCCCCACACCAAAACTCCCCTACCCCCTTAGCTTTGTTTCACTTAGGGCCAGGACATCCAACTTATTTTCATTCATAACATCAGCAATCATCTGTTTCTTGTCATCCGCACTACATCCATGCACATTCAAGCATCCCAGTTTTATGAAGTTTTTCTTCTTCTCTTTTTTAGTAAATGTTTACAGGAGAGAACAAATGGATTTGTCAGTTAAAAATAGGAGAGGAGAGTTATTAAATGGAGAGTTAGAGGTATTGGGAAGATGGAGGGAATATTTTGAGGAATTGTTAAATGTTGATGAAGATAGGGAAGCTGTGATTTCATTTATAGGGCAAGGAGGAATAACATCTTGTAGGAGTGAGGAAGAGCCAGTTGTGAGTGTGGGGGAAGTTCGTGAGGCAGTAGGTAAAATGAAAGGGGGTAAGGCAGCTGGGATTGATGGGATAAAGATAGAAATGTTAAAAGCGGGTGAGGATATAGTTTTGGAGTGGTTGTTGCTATTGTTTAACCCTTAAACGGTCCAAATGTATATATACGTTCACTCGCGCAGCGCCCCGAATATTTTGAAAAAAAAAACAAACTTTTTTTTTATATAGAAAAAAAGAGCACATTTTTTTTTAAGTGTTTTACCATAAAAAAAATTTAGGGTCAGTACTTACCGAGGTATGAGGCCGTGAAGTTGACACTTGGCGATCACCTGACGGCAACATGGAGCACTGCTGTTTGCAGAAATTCAACATATTTACCATTTTCTTCTATTTTTTTTCATTTTCTTGTTTTCATGATATGATAATTATGTTTCATAGTAAGTCATTTGATATCAATGCCAATTTTTGTTTATACACCAATATTACATACAAAATTTTTATCATACTGTCATAAACACACATGTACACACTGACAGGTTATTTTGCACACCTAGCTGAATCACACATTATTATCTACAACTATATACAAGTATTTACATGTCCCACTTAAGTTTCTAGAACTCCACAATTGTGTGATACTCCATGAAGCATAGATTCATACAGAGTGCCACCCCACATTGGTGACACATGAATCGTGTGTCCTTCCGCTGTTGGGGTCGTTTTTTGGTGGTAGCACACACAATACACTTTTTCTGGGCATTCTTCTTCTTTTGGGTATGTGATGAATGGTTTGGGTAGGTGGTATTGGTACCAGATAGTGACAGTTAGGAGTGATTCGGTCTGGCACTTCCCCCACTGGCTGTGGTTGAGGGACAGTTGGTGTGACAGGTCGCTGTTGAGGGGAAGGTACAGGTGTGGTACCATACTTTCTTGCTATCTGTTTGACGAGATTCAGAGAGAAATCTGCAAAAGTTGTCGTTTTCCAGTCTTTACTTCGTACATATTGAATGCATTGAGCACTGCAATATCTACAAGATGAAA